TAATGTGGTTCCACGCGTTTAAACTTCGTTCGAAGTTCAAGTACACAGTGGAGATAAAGGGTGCGAAGTTCTCGGAAGACAACCGCCACGGCCGATTGTGTAAGGAGCTCTCAAAGAGCATCGGGGATTATTTTGAGCTCGTTCTACCTGTTGAAGGTTGAAGCGCTCCTCTCTTAAATCGTTTCACCGCCATTTCTATCGCGTTGTGTCCTCTCCTCCGTCAAAACTCGTCTACAAAAATTCGATTCGGTGGCATCCGAATGAAATAAAAGTAAAAGATAAAGGCTGGAAAAAGAAGAAGAAGAAGAAGAAGAAGAAGAAGAAAAAGAAGAAGAAAAAGAAAAAGAAATATATAGGGAAGAAAGGAAAAGGAGTTCGCTTGAAATCGCATTTATCCGGCGACAGAAAGTGCTCCACTTTGGAGAAACGAGGCGGGAGGAAGTTCGTCGTTTCGAGATCTCTCTCTCCCAACAAAAGATGCTTCTTGCTTTCATCGTGCATCGGGCAAACGATGTCAGAATGTCGAATTAGTAGGAAAAAAAAAAAAAGCAAGGACTTACGAAAACAATCTCGAGACGACATTTTTTGAAATTTGAAAAAAAAAACGTCACAAACTTCGCATATTGCGTCTTCTGATGTTGTTTGGATGGAATTTAAAAAAAAAAAAAAAAAAAAAAAAAAAAAAAAAAAAAAAAAAAAAAAGAAATCAATGAATTCTGCAAGGAAAGAGAAACAAAATATAGAATTTTCTATCTCTTTTTTTGATTTTCGATATTTTTTTTTTTCCTCCCCGTTCTAGCGCTCCTATTAAGAGGAAACATCGAAACGTTTCTGTTAACGTCGAAACACGCCAACGGTCCATTGAAAGGGAAGCCAGAAAATTAAAGAAAAATATCATTTTTGCGTTTGTAAACCGGCCGCACTCCCGGTCGATGCGTTTCCTTTGTTAAACAAAAATTATAATAAACGGTATTTCAGGAGTTTTAATTGAAGCTTGTACTGGTGGCGAAGTTCTCCGGGGAGGAAAACAAAAAGAAAAGAGAAAAAAAAAAAAAGAAAAAAGAGAAGAAAAAAAAAGAAGGAAAAAAACAGGAGGAAGGAAGGGGAGGAAAAAAGAAAAAAATATATATGAAAGTTTCACGTTCTTATTTGCGCCGGGGAAAAATATAAAATTTCAGTGTACCGCCTCGCAAAAGCGCGGAATACGCCGTTCGCGTTTCCGCTCGTTATGAACCCTTTAACGGCCGTTATTCTTTCGAAATCCGATACCAGAAAAACTGTTTCTCTCTCCCCCTATCGATACCTTCGCTTCTCTGTGAGCCGTTAATTGAAAATATTTTTCACCGGGCAACGACAATGTAGAATAAAATCGATGGAAATTTTCTCGCAAGATACCTCTGAATTTTACACGAGCCAGCAGAATTATTCGTTTATTTATTTCTTCAATTATTATCAATTTTTACGGAATATTTAGAGTTTAGAGATATGGTAAGATCGTATCGAGTTTAGAATCATTAGAAAAGTTTTAAACGTCGAATCAAATTGCGTGGCGAAATCATTGAATTAACATGCGAAACGAATATCTGAATAGTAATTGCATGTATCTTGATCGAGTGACAACTTTAAAGGGGCGATAACATATTTATCTGATTTTTTTGAATATCAATTATTCCTTCACGTTGTACAAACCTATATAAAGTAAGTAAAAAAAATTATATATATGTGAATATAAGTTTCCTATGAAAATTAAGAAAAAATAAAACGATTTATCTTAAATCTGTTATCACATATTATGAGCTCAATTAATTAGATAGTTTAAATTAATTATCTTTAACAGATTCATCTAACGCAATTGGAAACTTGCATGATGCACTCATTGTTTCACTAAACAAAAAACCTTTATTGCTGAAACTATAATGTTTCACGTCAGAAGGATCTCTCAATTTCACAATACAAATTGCATGAGATTGTGACGCGAATAATCATTTCCGCGAGTTAAAATTACAAATATGATATGTTTTTCGCAGATCTTTCACGCGAAGAACAAAAATCCGTGAGGAAATCGGTGTAGAGAATGATTTCCTTAGTCGGGAAGCGTTTTCGCATTTTCCGAGAAATTTCTTCTTATCTGTATCATACATTATGCACAATATCTTGAACAATAATATTCATATTGATTATCATTGATTCTGTCGAAATTTTATACATTTTATGATAATTTGATTTTTCAAATTGTTCTTCCTTTTTTTCTTTTTTTGACTCGATTAAATATTTAAGATTAGATCTAATAAAAATACTATATTCCATAATAAAGAGATCCATCATCGTGAAAAATATGTGTACAAATTAATCAATTAGCCTTTATGACGATATTATCCAATCTTCTCTTGAAAAGAAGCAACCAATCCCAAGAAATCCTTTGGGACGTTACAAGACGTTAATTCCTCATCTTCTCACTTATCATCACTAACAACATAATCTCATTCATGATGAATTTCATGATAGATCTTTAAATACGCGACTTGAAGATATGAGAGAATTGAGTTAATTAAAACAGTTAAGTTAATAATTAAGCAGTCAATCTTTCCATCCTTCTTCCGTCAATTTTAATAATTACAATATTCATCGTTTAATACATATTCCAATTTTTGCAATCCCTTTGCAATCAGATAGATGCGAAGTCATCCCTGCCTAATATTTCTGGAAAACCAGTAATGAAAACTTTTGTACAAAATATCGCGAAAATAAATTCTAAAATTTTCAAATTAAAATTTTTTTTTTTAAATCAGGAAATCCTTGTGAATGAAATTCTAAGCGATATCGTAAATAAGCATCCTGTTCTTAAGGTATGAGACACCATAAAACAAGTATCGTTGGACGCTGACTCATAATCGTTTCCGCACAAATATATAATATTAAATATACGTGTACATATATACAGTAAGTACATATATACAGACGTGTATCGTGATATTTCCTGTAACACGCGAACAGTGCATTTTATGTATGTGTAATATATAATTATGTATGACATATATAGTTATTATTAGAGATTTCGATGTAATTGTAATTATAAGCAAAAATGAAAATTGTTAAGATACAAGATCTTAGAAGAAAGTTCTTAAATATCTATAACTCATGAGTATCTTACTTTGGATATTTTCTATCATTTTGTTGCGTATTTTGCAAATTTTTATACATTTTTAATTTTTTTATAAATACACATAATCGGTCTTGACGATCTTGGGGAATATTTTTGCGTTGAAACCTTAGGAGAATTTTTACTTATGTATTATAAATATACTTATTATACTGTATTATAAATAAACTTATGTATTATATAAACGACTATTGCGATTGTCTCTTTTGTGCAGTTAAGAGAGACGTAATCCTTTTTCTTTTTGTAATATTCCAATATGGTAATAAGGATTTCTTTCAGTTTTTCGATTTTCCTGCCGTACTTCTTAAACGGCGTATGATCAACTGTGAAAGTGTGATGATTAAAATTTCGAAGAAATTTTGAATTAAACATTTATATAAATAGCATTTTTTTTATCAAAAGATTAATGAATTCCGTTACAGTTGGAGATGAGATTGTATTGGAGGTGATAGATTTAAAACACGTAGATGTGAAACAGTTTTAAGATAGAAGTTTTGCAAGAAAAATCATGAATTTCGTATTTCGATACGAATATTGAATGGATAATACTGATCTTTTTGATCAATTTTTATAACAGAAAATCTTTTGAATGATATTAAGAATATTTTAAAAAGTATTCGTGGAATATATGAGTTTTAGAATTTTAAAATCTTTCTCAATTTAAGAAAAAATTACAGCTTCGTCTTCGTCTGTGCTTAATTCAATTGCAGTTACAAAATACTGTAGGGAAGAAAGTATAAAAGAATTAGAAAAAGATCATTATGTTATGCAATATCAATTTATTAAATATATAATATATTAAATGATATAAATCTATTATCATAATATAAATACTTCTAACAAAGAATAACGAAATAGGGAATAGATTAGATTAACGTTATTTATAATCTGATATTTGTATTAAATAATAAATTAAGATTCGAATCATATAGATTTCATATATTTATGCAGAAAGAACTGTAGAAGAAGTATAAAATATTTAATCGTTAGATAAATAATTATACATCTAATAACATTAAATACGAATAAAAAGCATTAAATTTCACAAAATTCAAAAACATTTTTTTCGAAATTTATATTATATCGATCAGGATTGCCGAAGATATTATATGGGCAAAATTTAATGTTAAATTCTATATAAAAAAATAAAAAAAAAAAGAAATTATCAAATTTCGTTCAGTCTCTATAATATTTTCTTATATAGATAATTTTGCTCTTCTTGTATTCAATTGGCAATCTTTTTTCATGGAAAATACAGAAAATCCAGGTATTTTTAACTTATAAGTAATATTTAAAAGAACAATAAATAGAATATTAATTTGTTAATAATATTATAAAAAATTATTATATTTCACATTTATCACACAATTTGAGCATTTTGTAACCGTGATTGCGTTTTACAAATGATCCAATGGATAGATAATAAGTTAATTACATAATATATATGTATACTTATCTATTGCATATCGAGTATTAAGCAAATTGAGATTCTCCGTATTCAGACGTTACGGAACATTCCACATTTATTTATTGGTCTAATTAGTCTATATTTGCAGTTAATATCCTAGATTATGCATAATTATGTAATTTATATCTGATTGATAAAAAATTAATGTTTGTTTAATACAATCTGACAAATTGTTGTTACAATATGAATCGAGACATTTTCTTAAAATCAAAGACACTTTATCTATTAAAAATGATAAATAAATTAGTTTTCTCCGAATGAACTTTAAAAAAAGTTAAATTATTATCTTAATTTTATTAATTATTAATTATTATTTATTATTATTAATTATTATCTTATTAATTTTATTAATTATTATCATAATTTTTTTTTTGATAATTATTAATCATGAATTTTAAATATTTCGGAGTTTATCCTATTCGAAAAAAGATGTGCACATATGTATCCCGTGTAAATTCTTTCCATTCCGTATTCCGGCAATTCTACCTCTTGATATGTTTGTATGCAACAATGAGGTTGATTGGGACCATTACATTTCATACCGAGATTTGCATCGATACACTTAATGTGATACAATTGCGACATCCAGCTGCCAAAAATCTCCCCAAGCGGCTCCATCGTATAATTATAGAGTGCTGTCTTCTGCAATTTTTCCGCTTCTATGTGATAAATTTTCTTATGTGTTCGTTTTCTTCTGATCGATATCCCATTCTTTGATATCATAACATCGCTACCGTTGAACATTAATAAATTTATCAAATTTTTCAAATTTTCTTCATTATTATTTTCGATCAAATGATGTATCTCGTTGAACCGTCGATAGACACCCCTGTGATGAATATGAAGTCTCTCTGGTGAAGCCTTTGCCTCCGTTAAGTCTTTCTTTGTAGAGTTAATGAACATTATGCAAACGAGAATCCCAGTAATGATGTATATCGACATAGTTTAAAATTTTAATCGTTGCTGCGTTAGATTGGAAATTATCAAATTGTGAATGTCGTTTAGTACTTGAGAAACGTCTGATCAAGATCACTGAATTTTCACTTTGTATAACTTGAGAATGAATAACTGTAATGATAATTTTCGAAATAGAAGGCTTTTCTCTCGAAAAGATCAAACTGGATGATTTATCAAAAAGTGAATTCTCTCGATCCAGAGATGAGAGTTTTTAAGGTAAATAGGTGATCATCCCCACCTTATATTATGTTACAACTACTCTTCGGATTTCTTCGTTATTCTCTTATTTTGTCTCATTTCTAGGAACATTGCTATGGTATGGTGACGACTCATTGATATGGTATGGTGTTTTTCCAAGAATTATATCTCATATCTTATAAAATTTAAATAAATAGCGTTGCATTATCATTATCGAATCTTACATATTTTTCGAATATATATAACGCAAAAAATTCTATCAATATATTTTTCAAATAACTTATTCTTAGATTACATAATTAAATGTTTAAAAAAAAGTTATACAAATCTTACATTTGTAGTTTTTCGATATAATAATGAAAGCAAATATAATTTTTTTGATTTCCAATGTGCCATTGCAGAGTTAAAAATATTAAATTTAAAAATTTAAGTCGAAAGATCATTATAATGGAAACATTCTTCTTAATAATATTCCTTTTCTTGATTTCTTGATATTTTTTTATTTCTTAACAAATAAGATTATATTTTGTAATTGGATTATATAAGAAAACATACACTTCGATTTCGATAATTTTTAAATATAATAATAAAAGATACAATTTTGAACAAGTTTTTAAGACATTGCAAAAAATAGTTATCACTATTATATTTGATTTCGTCTGTATATATTTTATTTATATTTTATTTATGACATTATGCAACTATTTATCTATTTATTTGCTATCTAATAAATATATTACAAAAAATAATCATAATGACAAACAATATAATATATGTAGATCATTCGTATGAATTATATTGGCGTAACTACTATTTTTGCCATCGGATAACAGATTACGAAATTCAAACCAATCTCCAATGATCATATTTGCACTGAACTTCATTCATGATTTGCCTATATTTTCAAATGACTCTATTAAAATTTTACTTATCCATAAAATCCAAATCAAGCGTGATCTATTTTCACAATTGAATCGCTATTATTATATTTTTTATTTTTTAGAATATATCATGATTTAGAATATATCATGATTAAAATATATCATGTATTAGCTAAAGGGTGTCCCAAATTCACGCAAGATTTGAATTTTGCGCCATTTGTGCGGTGTTTTTTCAAAATATTTTTGATGATTGGGATGATGAAAATGCAGAAGATGATCATCAATTAGTATCTAAAACACCAGATATTGTGGAAATTGAATTAAAAAATTTATTAAATGAGACAAAAACACAAGCAATAAAAGAGAATACTGTTATAATAATTGAAAAAGAAATAATATGCATTGAGAAAAAACCAAATACAGATGTTGAGAAAGCCATAGAAATTATTAAAAAATGAGGAAATACAAATATCAGAAAAACAACCAAATAAAAATCAAGTTATAGAAAAAGAACAAGATAATATAAAATCATCACTTAAAGACCAAGTAAATTATTTTGTACGAAAAAAAAAAAAAAAGACAGTTGACAGGATTATTAAAAATGGAACGCTGCATGAAAGAACAACGCATTTTCATTGTTGAACAATATTTTAAAAATAATGAAGTTTGGCAGTTACAATTCGCATTTTTCGAACAAAATCTTCAGTGATGAAGCTCAATTTCATTTTGATGGATTAATTATTAATTAGTTAATCGACAAAATTGTCGTATTTACAACGTCATTCAGAAATCCACGAGTGATTGTTGAGAAACAAATGCATCCACAATGTATTACTATTTGGTGGGGATTTTGGGCTGGAAGCATCATCGGATCATTCTTTTTCGAATGAATCAGGCAATAACAGTTAATGATGCTCACTATCGCGATGATAATCCAGTTTTTTGTGCCTAAATTGCAAGATATGAATATGGACGACATGTAATTTCAATAAGACGGTGCCATACAGTTCGAGAAGCAATTCAATTATTGCACAAGTTATTTTCTGATCATGTAATTTCTCATTTTGATGATCAGAATTGACCGCCCAGATCGTACCGTTTTTTCTTTGGGTTTTTTGAAGTAAGGTTTATGTCAACAATCATCCACGTTATGTCCACGATCATCAAGCCTTGAAGGAGAAAATTAAGCGCTGTATCAACGAAATTCAGTCACATTTATGTAAAACGGTCATGGAAAATTTCAACAAAAGAGTGCGTATATGCTATCACCGTGGAAGCCCGATATACTATTCCATACATAACCCTATACTTTATGAATCAATAAAAAATTTACAATTTTTAATTATAAACTTATGTTTTCTATCAAAATTACTTCTTGTGTGAATTTTGGGACATCCTTTATAAAAGAATTTTTCATTTCTGATAATATTTATTTTATTGGTTCTTGATTATCGAATATGATAAGAAATATTACACGAAATAAAATTAAAAATTAAATAATAATATAAAGATATAAGTATAATGATTCATTTCATAAAAATAAATCATTATTTTTTTGTTATTTATTTAATTCTTTATTATTATTAAATTTAAATGGAAAGAATAAAATATAGAATATATATAAGATATAAAAAAACAAAAATAGATAAAATAAGAAGAGAGAAGAAGTAAATGAGTAGATCGCTGCGATCTATCGTTCATATAAAATATATATTATTTTATTATTTTAAATGAACAGGTCCGATGATAAATCGCTCTTGTACGGAAAACTTGCATGTGTACCAAATTTTAATACGGATTTTGTGGCAATGATACAAGATCTTCGGATACATTCGTCCATTGAAAGTGTTGGGTGATAAGCTTTAAAGTATGCAAGAGCTCCTAGAAATGCATCTCCAGCTCCCTAAATATATATCGTAAATATTAGCAATACAATATATTGTAAATTAATTATTAAATATAAATAGAAATTTCCTCCCTAGATAATGATTAAAAACTAATAAAACAAATTTAAAAATTAATAATAAAAAGATTTAAAAAGAATAAATCTTAAAAAATCTCAAAGCATATAAAAAGTGAAGTAGCAAATGTATAATCTATCTTTTTATACTGAACAAGAGAAATCATACTGTTGTATCCATAGGCTGAACAGTAGCAGTGAAGACCTTTTTAACAGTTCTATCCTTCTGAGATGCATATATTGCTCCTTGTTTACCAAGAGTAATAATAACTGTATTGCAACCCATATCCAACAATTTATTCATAATAAGTTCTATATTCCTTTTTCCGTCGAAGGTTATCCCACTCGTAACTTCTGCCTATAAATATATATTAATTTTCTAATCTTCTTTCCATCCTTAATCTTATCTAAATAAAAAGAGAAATTACAACATTAAACATTTGTTAATAATTTAATAATTTAATACCTCGAGTTCATTAACGCAAAATATATCACAGAGTTTCAACAATTCCAAGTCAATATTTTTCATAGCAGGTGCTCCATTTACAATTGATAGACCTATCACATTGTATTTTTTATAAAAATTACTATATGTAAATTCTATAGAAGAACAATCATGAGAAACAACTAACCATAATTTTTGTGAAGCTTTAAGGCGTGTAAAGTAATTTCCAAAGGTATTTCAAATTGACACAATAAAACGGCAGCATTCTTGATTAAATTTATCGAGTTATCTATATGATTGGAACTTAATAACTTATTGGATCCTAATACAGTTATGATACTATTTTCGCCTAAAATTAATTAATTTTGAAGAATTTCGTATATTTTAAATACCAGAAAATAAATTTATAGAATTAAAAAGCTTACTTACCACTGTCGATAACCGTAATATGTGATATTCCGCTATGTATATTTGTTTGTATTTGAACGTGAGAAGCATCTACGTTTTCCTTCTTAAAAATTTTTAAGTACTCTTGAGCATAATTATCAGAACCTAACTGTAAAAGAAATTTATTATAACAAAATCAATTTAAATTTAAAGAAAGAAATAATTATATATATATATATATCTTATATATGCGATATCTTTGAAAGGTTAAGCCTAGAGATCAAAAAAACAAAATTGATATACAAAAATGTCGATTATATAAGATTTATATTTAAATAATTTAAATTTGCATTAGATAAAATGAGACAAGTCTATCACATCAATGTTTCACTTTATCTCTACTTCACTTCATCTAATGCAAATTTAATTTAAACTTCTTATATATTATATATATATATATATAATTTAAATTGTTAATAAATTGTTATAAATAAGTTCAATCAACATTTTCATATTTTTTCTACATTCTAGAATATGCCTTTCAAAAATGTTCCATAAATATATTCCATAATATATATATAATATAATAATATATATATATATATATATATTTTTAGAGATTCAAATAAAAATAAAAATCGTACAGAAGCAATGATTGCTGTGGTTGCACCAAGCCTGGCAGCTGCTATACATTGATTAGCACCTTTACCACCATATTTTATCTCAAATTTTCTACCAATTATTGTTTCCCCAGGTTTTGGAAAACGAGAGGAAAAACTAAAAAATAAATTTTTTTTACTAAAATCATAAAAGTAATTTATAATTTATAGTTACTCATAACATAAATTTTAATATGATATCTATAGAATTCATATTCTATGTTTTTCTAATCTATAAAATGTGTCTAAGAAAATATAAAAATTTAATTTTTGAGAAAATACAATCTAAATAAATTAAATTGTATCATAATATGAATTTTAGATATTCAAATTATAAAATTGTCACTTACCAAGTAAAATCAATCATGCATGAACCAACAATAATAATTTTTGACATTTTTTACTTTATTCACTAATAATTTCAGAATAAAAATATCGTTATAGGTTATGTACGTAATGCAAGTCACATATAAAATTATTTTGTAATCAAAAAATATAAAAGACACTGTTTTCATAAACATATAAAACTGATAAAAATGATTATCCAGATTTATCGCAATTATCAATTAACTATTTAACTGATATAAAATTTTTTGTTACAATATAGTAACAAATAAACTCTACAAAAAAGAATGAGATTCAGTTGATATAGAAGATAGTTTAATAATAACATAAAACTATTTAAATAAGAATTAAGGTATCAAATTAAGAATTTTTAAGATTAAAAATAAAAATTTTATTTAATTTTAAAAATATACATATTGCACCATAAATATACATGTAACTCTTATCACTTCGTAAATATATATATTTATATCATATATATCGTGTATATATATCGTGTATATATATATATATATATATCGTGTATATATATCATATATATATATCGTGTATATATATCATATATATATCGCGTGTATATATATATATATATATAATGTATATATCAAAATAGATAAACTTTCGCACTTTAAAATCACGTTTTCAATTATAGAAAATAATATGCACATACCTCTTGAAATTAAATTCCTAAAAAATTAAAGAATTACGATTCACATATTACGTTTTTTAAAACAATGATAAGAGATTAATAATAGAGAAAATAGTAGAAAATTATTTCATTGTCATCTATATATAGTATATATGAACACATTATTTAAAAATTTAAACTTACCTATTATTGTTAAAATAATATATTAAAAAATAATTTTAATTAAAATGTATGATAAAGCTAATATTTAATAGAACTTTTTATTGAGAGATTCAAATTTAAACAAATATAGCAAATAATTAAAAAAGGATAAATAGGTTAAAAATTAGGTAATTAGCGCCATCTCTGAACTAAGACATAAATGAAAATAATATAAACAAGAAGAAAAATAATAAAAAATAAAGATAAGATAAGAATTTGTCATTACTGCCATCTCTTGGAATTTATATATATCTTTCTTTAAAAATATTTAAGAAATGATACTGATCTTCAATATTTTATTTATTTTATCTTTAAAGAATTATCATATTTAGATATTTATGGTGATAAATATGATCTAAATATGATCTTGTGATACCAGTGGAAATTTCGACTTGTTTATTAATAATACAGAGTATTCAAGAAGATATTCAAGAAGGTACAGACAAAATGAATTGATAAAATAAATTACTAACTTTGATATCTTCCACATATTAAAAATATTGAAAATTAATATTTTTAATTATTATTTTGCTATTAAAAAATTCCATACTTTAAAACTTGTATCTTAAAATTAAAAACTCAAATAATTTTTCCTGAAAATTCCAACATAAAAATTTCTTTAATTAATTATTTATTATTAGATGAGAATACAATCCACGTTCAATGTTTTGATGATTAATTTTATATTATTTATTATAAGATTTATTTCTAAATATGAATACATGCATTTCTATTGTTTTTTCTCTATTCATATAAAATTTTTGTTTATAATTTATTTTAATTTTTTTTTTATTTAATGAATAAATAAATATATTAAATTGATTTTTTTATTATTATTTAATTATAGATCGGTAATCTGTAAGTGATAAATATCTTTTATATGATAATCATTAATAAATAGTTAATTAAAAAAATTTTTTTAATAAAATTTATTGTAGAAAATTATTTGAAATTTTATTTTTAAATTGCAAAAATAAAAATATAGAATTTTAATGTAAAAAACTAATAATTAATTAATTTTTCATGTTATATTCCCGATATAACATTAAGAATTATATAATTAATATATAATATTATATATATAAAATTATACAATTAGAGTTTGCATGTTTTTTGTCTCCTTTTTGCATAATATTGCTCTCTTTGTTTGTGATATCATGAATACCTCTTTGCATATTCTACATTACTAATTATGATTTGAAGCTTTCAACTTTCATTCACAAGATGGTGCTACTGATATTAAATTCTTCTATTTATTTTTCTTTGTCTAATTTATAAACAAAATTAACAATTTATACCAAAAAAAAAAAAAAAAAAAAAGAAAAAATGCAATAGCAGCTTTAAAATGTTTATTATAAATATTTTTTTGCAATGAATCTGTTTATAATTCTGCTTATATTCTAAAATGAAAAATTCGGAACATATTATATAAAAATTAAAAAAAGAGGATTTCTTGAAAGAAAAAAAATATATACATGAAAATATAAAATATATATGAAGAAAATATGTATAAAATATATTATATATATTATATATTATATATATTATTGGTATATAATGAAAATAATATATATGTACATGTGTATAATAAAAATATATGAGTGCTAAAACTAATTACACAGATTGAAGTTCGATTTCTTTTAATATACATGTACACACTAAGTAGAAATTATTATTATTATTAATTCTGTAAATTATAACAAAATTAGTTTAGCAGTAATGTTTTTAAATAAAATAATTCCTTATTTTTATTTGATAATATTTTACAACTTATATTAAATTTATATTTAAAACTTAATAAATATATTATTTATTTATTTATAATGCTTTAGAATTACAAAAGAATTTATCATTGTTTAATTACGATATATAACAATCGATGATAATCTTATAATTATATTATTAATTGTCAATTATAATTATATAAAATTTATATTTTTATATCATAGAACATACATAAAATTTTAATTGTAAGTAAAAATTTTGTTTTCTAATTTTTTAATTTAATTTAATTTCATTAAAAAACTTAAAAAAAGAATATCTAAATTAATAATAAGAGGATAAGAGGGGAAAGGAAGAGAGAGAAAGAGAGAAAGAAAGAGAGAGAAAGAGAGACAGACAGACGGACGGACAGACAGACAGACAGACAGACAGACAGACAGACAGACAGTAGTATGAACCTCCGATTTCATTCCTGTAAACATTGTGTTTGGATTTAAGAAAGTAATTGCTTTTTTCTGAGATCTACTAAAGTAAGATTTATATAAAATATTTGATTAATAAAATTGTTCTTTTCTAAAAACAATTTTAAATAAACATAAATAATATATAAATAATGTGTGATTTTCACGGATATCTATGCAGTATGGACATGGTAGTCCTGGTTGGTAAGTTCTTCATTCTGCCATTAAAATCATTTTACGTATTTAACAAATATACTATTAATCAATATAATGATCTAAATAAAACAATATTAATTGAAATATATTACATAATATTATTGTAAAATAATATAATGAATTATATCATTGTATAAAAATCATCTATAAGCTATTATTTACTATCATCCTAAGGAATATCGAAATGTATTAGTTAACTAACGTAGCTTCCATAGCTTTTAATATAGATTTTACTTTTAAAATTTATTTCAATTTATTTTATGCAAAATATAGTTTATAATTATTTTATTCAAGACAGAGAAAAAGATAAGTTTATTTTTATGTGATTTGATAAAGAATCCATGTAAGGTTATGAAATAACAAATTTCTTTTATTTTATATTTAATAAAATAAATAACAAATATATTTTGATATTTATTTTTTCTTTAATTAATTATTTTATTTATAATTTTTTTAATATTGATGATATTAATTGTTTTTTTCTCAACAGGACAATCAATAATTTGTTAAATAATTGTAACAATCTTGATGTTTTACCATGGAACAAATAGATGAAATACAGAGTGATATTAATAAAACAGAATTATCATTAACAGTAGATATACCTTCTTCATTAGTATCAAAATCAAATATTGATCATGTACACAATGAAGAGAATATTCCTGAAAATCAAGAAAATTTGCAAGAATGTACGAATAATATAATTCAAAATGTTTTGTCAAGAAATGAATATGATATAATAGATTCAAGTAAAGAAATTGAAAATAAAAAAAGTAAAATAACAGAAAACATAAAGAATGTTATAATTAATGAAGAAAAACAAGAAATAATAAATGACATACAAATTGATAATAATCAATATATAAAAAATGAAGAATATAAAGAAAATCAAACAGAAAAAAATGAAAGTAATTTAAAATGTGTAGAAGACAAATCTTTGAATAAGGAAAATACAAACAATGTTGAAGTATTCAAGAATGAAGATGAACAAAATTATGAAAAACACAATGTTTGTACAGTTTTAAACATAGATACAGTTGATGATAGTAATGTTCAATGTCAAGCATTAATTAAAACACTTAGTGAGACATTTGATAATAATAAAGATCAAACTTTGCATGTCACAAATACAGATGCAGATTTGTCCAAATTAGTTGATGGTAATTCAGAAGTGATGGTAGTAACTGTAGAAAGTACAGAAGAAAATATTGTTTTAACTGTACATAAAAAGGATGATACCATAAATTCCGATGAAAATGATGTTTCTAGGGAACAAAAAGAAATAAAGAAAACTGAAATTGTAAATGAAGAATTTAATTTAATAGATTATACTCAAGAAAGTGATGGAACTATTATTGAAGTCATTTCAACAGAAATTGTAGATTCAGAAATTTCTGAAGCTTGTGTTCAACAAGATAATAAAGAAGTTTCAAATCATATTGCTTTAGAAAAAAATTCTATAAATTCTACTACTTCAGAAGTAATTAATAATTCAGAAACTGTAGATATTAACTTTGAAACAGAAAAAATAAAGGAAGAGAATAAAAATGTTGGAAAAAAATATGATGATCAAGTAAAAACAAATAGCAATGGCAAGACTGAATATTATGATAGTTTACATAAAATTAATGTAGAAGAAGAAGTTATTCATAATGAAGTCATTTCATCTACACATGTTAGTAATATAGAAGAAGAAAGTATATCTACAAATGAAACAAATAAAATAGATACAACTAGAAAGAAAAGAAGTGTAATTCAAGATATTTTTGATGATTGGGGTGATGAAAATGCAGAAGATGATCATCAATTAGTATCTAAAACACCAGATACTGTGGAAATTGAATTAAAAAGTTTATTAAATGAGACAAAAACACAAGCAATAGAAGAAAACACAGTTGTAGTAGTTGAAGAAGAAATAACATGCATTGAAAAAAAACCAGATACAAATGTTGAGAAAGCTATAGAAATTATTAAAGAAAATGAGGAAATACAAATATCAGAAAAACAATCAGATAAAAATCAAGTTATAAAAAAAGAACAAGATAATATAAAATTATCACTTAAAGATCAAGTAAATTATTTTGTACCACAAGCTGTGGGAATGTCTGTAAAAAATACAACACACGAAACAGTTGTACTTAATCAAACTTCATCATCACAGACACAAATTACGCCTATTAATCGTGGTCGTAGTTTAACCAATCAAATAGCTTCATCAGCTGAAATAACAGAAGCGTTAAAAGAACGACTTCGTGAGAAACAAAAAATAGTAGAAGCACCACCGCGACCTGATATATTTTTTGTTAAGAAATTAACACAGAGATTGTCAAGCAAATTAGTAGGTAGTCCAGGAAGTTCTTTACCAGCACTTATACCATTACCTCAACCTAATGTTCAATCACTTATTCATTGTGATAAAAATTTATCAGATAATACAGAAACTAATAAAGAAAGCAATTCTGATAATAAAGAGTTGTTAGAAATATTGGAAGGTGATGTTGATCCTGATTGGTCTAATTTGAAACCACCAATTTTAACAGAGGAAGGAAAACGTCCAGTAAAAATTGAACAAAGTGGTTATAATACTCCACCAAAACTTGATCCCTTAGTTGAAAGAGAACTAGCATTAAAACAACTTTTAGAATTACCTGTTACACCAATCAAAAGAAATACACAGAAAATTTCTAAAAAGAAAACAATGAAATCTACATCTAATAAAAATTCTAAAGAAATAAAAAAAAAAAATGAACATAACACAGAAAGAAAATTTATTAATATTGATTTAATAAATGAAAATAATTTTATAAAAGATACAAAATCTAATCTTTCTACATCTTCTTTGATTATTGACTCCCATATTTCAGAAAAAAAAACAGATGTTCAAGATGTACGAATAGATGAATCAAGATCAGGTAGAAAACGAAAACTTACAGAAAAAGCTAGAGAACATGAACAACAACAGAATATTGTAAAACGTCAAAAAGTATATAAAGGTAAAGTTTCATTGAATAAAAAGCAATCGCAAGAAAATGAACCACAAGTCCCAGTTGATACTAATTTATCAACTGAAGATCATGTATCTAAAGAAACTACGTTACTTGTTAATGATGAAGTTCATGTCACAATAACAGATGAAGTAATGAATAAACAAATCACAAATAATAATAAAGTTGGTCCATCATTAAATAAACTTGATAATATATCTTTAAAGCCTTCAAGACAAAATCTGAACAAAAAGGGATCACAACCTATTGCTAAACGAAATATAGTAGTAAAAAAGATATTAAAACAAAACATACCTTCCAATAAAAAAACTCCTGCTTTAAAAGCTAAATTAAATACATCAAAGAAATCAGGACCAAAATCAAAACGATCTACAGAAAATAATGGAGATTCTAAACCAAAAAAGAAAATTATTAATGAAATAGATAGATTGCTTCAAGATGAAGGTGTTGTTAATTTATTATATGATGTAGAACAACCAGATAAAAAACGATTAATTCCCATTACTAAATCTCAAGCAAAAGTCATGGATATACAGAAAGTACAGCGTGAACTTAAACTTAGAAAAAAATTGGTACGTAATGCTGTTTTGAGATTACGTACTTCGACAGGAAGCGTATCAAAAGTTTCTCCAAGATCCAAAAGAGCTTCTATATATTTAAATGATATGCAGATAGATAAGAAAATTGGAGATCAAGTAGTATCAACGAAACAAATAAATTTAACATCTCAAGAATTTATCTTACCTGCAAAGATAAGAAATGCAGCAGATGCATCTATTATAATTAGGAGACATTCATCTAGTTCATTTTCCAGTGCATCTGGAAGTCCTAGAGTTAGTATTGATAGTTCAGAAAAAAATGAAGGAATCAAAGTTGATGAAACCTCTCATTCTTTGAGATCTACAAAAAGACGACATTCACAAGATGAAAAAATAAATCTAAAAAAAAATAAAAAAAAAACTATACAAAAAAATGATACAGGAATAGATTTTGTTGACACTGAAGAGGATAAAATATTTCTTCCTGGACGTCTTAAAAAATTAGATTCAAAAAAAACTGATAAAAATTCAAAACCACAAGAAATAGATGAAACTAATAATGGTTTAGGAAAAGTTATTACACGATCAAATGGTACAGCTACATGTAAAGTAACATCAAAGACAAAAAAAACTGCAAAAAGTAAAGTTACATTTGCCAAAGCAAATGAACCAGATGATAATGAAGAATTTTCCAAAGAAGAAGATGAACTTTCAGCCTGTCTTGCAGAAGCTGCAAATGCTCTATCAGTAGTAAATGCTGGAAGTCGATCTGCAAATTCAACAACAAATCGCAAAAATAAAGGTAAAAATGATTTCAAGAAACAAAAAGCATTTTATATTTTTAGCAAATTATGATAATAATAATATTCTTATGTAAAATAATGAAATATTCAATAAAATTATATTATTATTTCAGTAAATGTAAATATTACTAAAATGCAAGAAATGGATAATAACAAAATAAAAATAGAAACTCGAAGTCAATTTAGTAATAAAGAAATAAATGTACGTCGACACGGAAATCTTGTTCAATTAATACTTACACCATCATCTTCAACAAAAATAAGAAATGCTCTTACTATACAGGTAATAAAATTATGAAAAAACTAATTAATATTTTCTATTTTATTATAACTATATTTCTATTTATTTAATAGCATTTTTTTTTTTTTTAGGTGATGCAAGAATTTCGCGAAATATTATCTATTCTAAAAAAAGATGATGATTGCAGAGTTGTTTTATTAACATCTACAGGTAGTAGTTTTTGCGAAGGTCTTGAATTATCTATGTTGTTACATACAAATAAAGAAGAACGACGGATTCATGCCCAAGAAATGGCGGATGCTGTTAAGTACGTAAATATTATAATTAAAATATAATTATTATTATTAAAATATAATTATATATTTATATATTTAATTATATTTATTTAAAAAAACTTATATATTTATTTTTATTTTTAGAGATTTTATTAAAAGCTTAGCATCATTTAACAAACCTATCGTTGCTGGAGTTCAAGGAGCTGCAGTTGGACTGGGGGTAACAATGTTGCCTTTATTTGATCTTGTGATAGCTAGTGATAAAGCCACATTCAGTACACCTTATGGTAAATTAGGACAAATTGCTGAAGGTGCTGCTGTATTTACTTTATTACATATATTAGGAAGTGCAATTGTAAGTATATGTATGTGTGTGTGTAATAATAGTATATATTATTATAGTATTATATCATACCATATATAAAAATATCACATTTATTTATATATAATATATTTATTTATAATATATATACATTTATTTATAATGTGATGATGATGATGATTTTTAAAATATATATATATTAAATCAAATTTAAATTAAAATTGCAGGCAAGTGAATTATTATTAGGTGGAAGAACTCTAACAGCTAGTGAGGCATTAAGAGCTGGTCTTGTTACTCGAGTTTTGTGGCCTGATAAATTTCAAGTTGAATTATTACCAACTTTAAAAGCTATGAGTGAACAATCCTCACAGGTATATATAAATATTCTAGGTTCTATATAAATATATTTATTAATTTTTATAATACATGATGTCATTCTTTAAATATGAATATTATATCTAATAAAATTATTGTTTCTGAAATAAATATCATGTATTCTTAAATAGAAAATAATAACTTTTATAAGTAAGTCAGAATAAAATAATTCTTTAACATTTTTTTTATTTCTATCTTTGAAGATATATAAATGATTTTCTGGATAAATATATCTATAATATAGTGTTAAGTATAATCAGATATAATCAAATTATATTTTTTTATAAAATTTATAAATATCACATGTTTTTTTCTATATAAAAAAAAAATAAAATAAAATTTTTCGAAATATTTATATTAATATATATATTTTTAAAAATGTGATCCTTCAATAATATGATTCTGAGCAATTTTAATTTAAAGTTATATTATATGATGTAAAATAAGAATTATTTTTGTTATCAATATATATATTATAATTATTTATTACTTTTATCATAAACTTTTATTGTTATTGATTATATTTATATGTATTTAATTTTATTATTGGAATATATATAAAAAAAAAGAATCTAATTCTTAAATTTAGATTTTAATAAAATTTAAGTATAATATAAAATTTTAATATAAATTTAAAATATATTTTGCATTTTTACACACATATATGATTTGTTGAAAATATATAATTTGTTGTAAATAAAACAGATGAATTTCCAAGTTTTTTTTATCTATTGTCAAGAATATTTTCTTCCATTAAGACATTGATAAAATCTCTTAAATTAGATATTCAAAATCGTGAATCATATATTTCATTAATCATACATTCATATAAATTTATATTAATCTATATTATATATTATATATTTATTGAGATCATTTAAATATTATGTACATATTTGATATTAATGAATGAATTATATACAAATAATAATATATATATCATCTTAATATTTAAATATAACATTTGATTTATTATTAATTATAATATAAAAACATTAATTATTATTACTAACATAAAATGGATTAAAATAAACATTTTTGCAATTAAATTAATTTATAGACATCTTGTATTACAAATAAAAATAGAACAATTCATAATTGCACTCTTATTTCAGTTATATATACAAAATTAATTAATATTTATACTATATATCTAGAATTTTTTTCATCTGCATCTGAATTCTAAATTACTATTTAATGTTCTGTTTATTTATTTTCAGTCTATGGAAGCTACAAAAGCATTATTACGTCACAGTTTGCGAAAAAAATTGGACGCGGCATTAGAATCAGAAACATATTTGCTAATTCAGCATTGGTGTTCTGTAGAATGTCAAACTGCCATGAAGGCATACATTGATGGAAAAGTCCAATAAATATTGAAATGGTAATATTCCATTTTTTCATCTGTAAATCTGTTTTTAGTTATTTGTAATTTATATGATAGAAAACAAATAACAAGAATTTCAAATATAAAAGATAATTATTTTATCGAAGTATTATATATAGCGGTAATAATTTTATAATATAGCAATACGTAATGTGTAAATACATGTTTGTCATTTGTTATATATAATTTGTATATGAAGTTGTACAATACATTATTTCTTTAAAAAAGGGAATTGTTTTATAGTTAGTTCTTACATTTATCATTTATTATTATAAACGTTGTACATAAAATTATAATATTATAATATTATTAATGATTAATCAGAATATTAATATTAATTAATATAATAATGAGTTTGATTAAAATATTTTCTAAATAATTATAGACATTTAGATATTAAAATACTTCAATATTTTGATTTGTAACATTTAACAGGAAATTTATTTAAAAATATCTATAAAATAAATATATAAAAAATTCAATTATATGCTACAGATGCCCAATGATTTTGAATGGAAGTACTAACGTCATATTCCAACACACCTAGTATTATAAATTGGATTCGAAGATTAGTAACAAGATAATTAGTTTGGAAAACATTAACGTGAAAAAAGAAGTCACAGCTGGTGTATCATTTAACATCAATCACGCACGATTATTTTAAAAATATAAAATCAATTATTCAAATGGAACTATTTTAATATTAAATGATTTAGATTTATAAATTTACATACGCGATTACATACAGAATGAGATATTTCGTATTATCGTTTTGAATAATTTTTAAATTATGCTTTATATTAAAAAATATTTAATTTGTTAGAAAATCAAATATAAGAAGAAGAAAAGAAAATATAAAAGATTTAAAAAAAAGACTAAATGAAAAAATATAATACATGATATAACATATACTGATATGTAATTTTCAATATATATGTATATCTTTTATAAAATGCATAATTAATTATATTATCCAAAACGATATTATTATACATCTCATTTAGTATGTATATGTATGGATTTTCTATAGATTATTATTACTATTAAATAAAATAAAAAAATGATCATATGGGGTGAATTTGTGTTCTTTGCATACACATCAATAAATTTTGAACAGAATGTAATTTTTAATTGTACATTAAAAAATAATGTATGATTCTTTATATTTGATATGATATTGTGCCTTGATCGTTTTATAAAAAGATAAAAACAAATAGACATAGAAAAAAATATTTGTAATTAACTGAAAAAGTACAATTATTGACTTAAAATTAAAAAAAGTTAAAAAAATTTTAAATAAGTCAAATTGTTTTCAAATAATTTTTATTCTGTTTGTTAATAACATGCATCATTACAATTTAATTAAAAAAATAATTTATATTAATTATTTATATTATTATTTATGTATATTTTAAATATCGACATATAATATACGTAAGTATTTTATATATATTTGTAGAATTGACTTTAATGATGCATTCACATTGGATATATTTTATGTCAAAAGATAATTAAATTATAACATTGTGAGTAGTCTATTTTACTACTATATCACATGAATCATAAATATATAAAAAAAAATGTAAAATAAAATCATTTAAAAATAATGTATACATATAATAACATAATTTAATATACAAATTTGAAAAAGGATAATAAACTTATAATTTTTCTTGAATTTAACGCATGCAATGTTTTAAGGATTACAAAAGGCTATGAAATAAAATTTAAGACAACATTGAGAAATTTCATTGAATACTGTTCAAAAACATGGAGTATGTTGTAAAGAATACAGTCACTCTTGTACAAATATTACACATGTAAGAATAAGCCATTCTAAAACATTGTATTATCATTGAATATAAAACCCATACAAATATAAAGGAAATATTCACAAGCCAATTTATGTTTAGTATGTATTAAAAATATATAATCACCTATTTATGTTCGTGCACGCACAGGTGCACATATGTATGTAGTATATATTATATTTGAAATAGTAGTAAATATATCTCTAATTGTATAATAATATTAGTTTCTCTTTTATCAATAGGCAACTTTAGGCATCTTAAACAGGCATTCATATACTGAGAAATTATTAAAAAAATTTAAAGTTATAAACATGATAAAACAATTAACAAAAACTTTATTAATCGCTTTACAAGGGCAGCTATTTTTCCTAGGATCGGCAGTCTGGACGTTTCATCAGAAAAGTCCTATTTCTTTTTTAAGGTTCACTTGTTTCCATACTGGAAGTTCTTGAAATTCTTCTTTAGTCATACCTAACAATTCCTATTAGAATATATAAAATATATATATCTCTTGTAAAACTTATTTATTACTAATAGTTTATAAAACGTACTTGAAAATGTTGTTGAGATAAATACAATTCTAGATGTGTAGGATCAACTCCTTCTGGTAGTGGTCGTTGTAATAATTGAGCTGGAGGGTATGTACTTTGTGTTAATCGAACTAATTCACTCTCTACAGTCAACACTTCGCCAGGATTTCGACCATCCTAATTGCAAATTACTTGTTTAAATTATACAATTTTAATAATTTTGAAAAATGTAAAAATACCTCTATATTCAATTCTGCAATATCATCACGATATATCCATGTAGGAAATAAATTTATAAATTGCAAAGGTTCAAGACCAGCCCAGACTAGATAAATTGGATATTTATTAATCTCTGGATGAATTTTTTGCCAATACTGCATAGCCATTGTCATGGCTGCTCTTCTTTCAGCTTGCCATCTAACTGCTTTGCTACCAGATTGATCTTCTGCTCCAATATTAGGCCACCATCCTTGCCATATCCATAATTCATTTTTGTTATCCAATAAAAACAAGGCTATAATAATATAATAAATTTTTAAAAAGAATCATTTTATTTAAAATAATGTATACAATATAATAATTATAATAATGTATATAAATAACATATATAAATTACCTGGTTGATGAGCTTGATATAAATCTTCCTGCAGAAAAGGAAATGGAGTTGGCAAAGAAGCACGATGTGGACATAATATTTCTATAGATTTAAATTCTTTAGAAATGCTTGATAAATGAAACAATCTTGGAGTATGTTCTTTTATTTGGTCTTTTTCTAATGAAACATACAGCTTTTTGTTCATTTGTCCTAATGCTATGTGATAAAATATTTTGTTTATTATTTTGATAATAAGTCAGACAAATGTAATATTGAATAGAAATGTTCACTCACTATTAATGAATTCTTCTGGTTCCATTCCTTCATCAATTTCAAAAATTTCTATATTGCCTTCAAATGTTAAACCTGTTTCTCGAGGTCGATTTTTTTTCAATTTAACAGCTGCATTAATTACATTCTGAAAATACATATAATAATGCATATATATATTAAAAATTTTTATTTTAAAGAAACACAAAGAATATTTTATTTAAATTTATCTATACATTATAATATTTTAAAAAAATACTTTTTTAATATGAGGTAATGAATTAGATCCATGCCACACATAGATTTTTTTATTTTTTATATCTAATAATATAAAAGAAGTTCTGCTCCGTAATTGACGAGTACTGCAAGGAATCTCTATTAAAGACACCTCTGACTCTAAAGTACCACGACATATATACAATCGCCATCGTTCATCGCATTTTGTATTCATTTTTTTGCCATTATGTACAATCATTCCTCCAGAAAATAAATTCAAAAATGCTGCTGGTTCGTGTCCTTGAACTACACGAAGCTATAAAAAATTTAGATAAAATTTAAAATATTTTGAATAATATCGTTAATTTACATTGATAATTTACCTGAGGTGCTTGATCATTATCTAATTCGATAGTTAATAATGCTGCAGCGCCTTGTTCATTTAAAGACGCATTTTGACCTTGCCAAATAAAATATACTGAACGATCGCGACCCTTTGCAGAATGTTTTGACGGCAAACCACTAAGTTCACGGCCTAAATAATATAGTTTAATAACATATATCATCACAAATTTAAAAAAAAATTTAAATGAAATATATTTGATATCTACCAGTAATTGTAACAGAATACATCCAATGCACGATATAACTATCCCCAGAATAAAATTGTCCAATAGATGAATCATCCAAAAGAGTATGTGAAAATTCATCAATATGCCATACTTTTATATCTGTTGTTGTAACAATAAATTGTTTCATTAGCTGAAAAATAATTATCAAAAAAATATATATAGATTACTTAATATTTAAGCTACATTTTAGTTTATTATATAGTTTATTATATTGCTAAATAATAACATATTATTACCTCATTATCATACCAACCAGTACCTCTACCTAAATGAGTTCCTTCAAGAACTAAATCAACTGGAATAGTACATTCTTCTAATAGAACATTAATATTGCACATTTCTATAGTTACAGTTCCATCAACATATTCTTCGTTTTTAATACCTCGAACTCGTATTATACCAGAAACATTTGGCCAGTCAAGGAATTTTTCCCTAAAAAGTATCGTTTCGACATGTTGTGTCAATTTAGCAAGTAAACACCATTTAGGCCTGACTTTAGCAGATTTTAAATCTGCTTTTGATATAGTGCGTCTACCAATCATAGATGCCGCACTAATTGGACACACAGTACATTCTGAATAATCATATCCTTCTTGCCACATTTCTGTAGCAAGATGTGTAGCAAGTCTCTTTTTATCAGTTGAAGCTCCTTTACCACTCCATATATACATTTCACTGCCGAAATCGAATACTAATACCTAAATACAAAAATGTAATTATTTATAATTACATTAACTACAATATACAAGATGTTAATATATTGAATATTTTTGGAATCAATTCTAAATACTAAAACAAAGAAATGTTGAAATAAATTTATATTAAATGAAACGATAATTTAATAACTTAATAAATAAATCTCAATTGATATTTTTATTATTGTTTTTTAGAATTGATCTTTCAAAGTTGTTTCACATATATATTATATGTATAATATACATCATATATATCACATATATATATATATAAGTATATTATATATATGTAAAGTATATATATGCTGAAATATATACCTTATTTGGATCAAGCATTTCAATTTTTGGTATAATACCCCAATATTTTTCAACTGGTACTAATTCTTCATCTTTAATTTCATATACCATATTTGTATCTATCATAAATGTTTCATAAAGTTCATCTTCATCAGGATGTCCACCATCAATAACTGTTATCAATATAATGATATCAATGTTCTATAAAATATTAATATACTCATATATGATAAAAAAAATACTATTTTACCATCCACATTGTCGTTTTCTATACCAAGATAATTCCAAAATTTTTGTAGTTGACTTTTTGTACAAGTTATTTTATCTTCATTAATAATAATAACTTGAGATGTTTGACAACCAAGATCTTTATTTTGTTGAATACTCATTGCAATTTCTGCACCTCGTGCTTTTTCAATAACATTACAATATTTTCCAATGTAATTGTAAACCTAAATTAAAAATATAATAAAATACATTTATAAATAATTAATAAAATTAATTAATAAAACACATTTATAAATATTTATAAATAAATTTTGTAAAATAATATATAATAATTCTTTTAATAACCTCTGATTTTGTTACTAAAACAAAATTATCACCACTATTTATACTTTCTGCGACTGGTTCAACTAATCTCACTTGTATATGTCTTCTGCCTTTAATTAAAATTAACATTAAGTCTTTATATGGTTGTAATTTATTAGAAGAAATATTTGTTTCTGCTATATTCCTTAGAGTTATATTACTAAAGTCTTCAGTAGAAGCTAGACCAGCTAGTGCTTCCATAGCTAATGACGAGTTTTTAGCTACT